CGGGCGGGCGGGCGGCGAGCACAGGTGGCGGCGATTGGGCAGGCGGGGCCCGGAGGGTGACGTCACGGGCTCCGGTCCCGGCGGCAGAAATAGGGCAGCCGCGGCAGCGGTGGCACAGCGGCAGGCGGCGGAGGCTCCGAGAGCTGGAGCTTGGACTGTCTCTAGCACGCCGGGGTACACCAGCTGACAGCCGGAGACGACCCAGCGGAGAACGCGGGGGCCGAGTTGCTGCCGCTGTCGCCGCCACGGGGCGCTCCCTCCCTTCCACCTGAGTCCGGCCACCTGGTCTTCCTCTCGGCCCCGGCCGCCGCAGGTAAGCGGGGCGCAGCTCTGGAGCAGATGCGGGTGTCCGAGTCGTGCCACTGCCGCCAGCCCGTCCCGCTGCTGCCCGCCGAGGTCCCCATGCCCGCAGGTCCGCAGCTCGCTGCAGGGCCCGGTGCGGGCGTTCGCTGGTCCTCACTGCCCACGCCTGAAAAGCCAAGTTTGCGCGTCTGGCCGCGGGCACGGGACCGCAGGGCCGGGACTCTGCAGGGCCACCCTGGATGCACTAGGACGGGAGGCTAAAGCTGGGGCATCTGCGGCTTGACACCCGGACATCAGCCGTGGGGAACGGAGCGATTCTTATAGGCGCGCGGGGCGCCACGCAGAACCGCTCCCGCTGAGCCCAAGCTCGCGATCCGCACCGAGACCCTGCAGGCGCCTCTCTTAGGCTTTGAACCCCGAATGGCCTCTCTTGTACCTTGGCGAGCGACAGACCCTGGCTCGGACCCATGCCCTTGGCTCGGATCTAGAGTGCGGGGCGGTCATCCTCTGCACTTCCTTCCCCTCCGCTTTGCGGGGAAACTTGCGTCCCCTTGTCGCAGCCAAAAGATGAGCTGCGCCTCTCCTGGCCCTCATTTTCCACCACGGTCCCGGTGTAGAGAGCTCGCTGAGGACATCCGAGCAGAAACCTGCTCGGAAGACCCCATGTCTCTAATTCTGCGAGGCCACAGTTGTTACCAGTAAAGGGTTGCTGGAACCCACTGGGAAATCTCCAGGGAGCAGTTTGTCCTGAGGACATTCAGGTTGGGGTCTTGGTGCTAAGAGCGATTGTGCTGAGTGGTCTCCCCTCCCCTTGCTCCCTTAGCCCCGGTAAAAGAAGAGAGACCATTCCCAAGTTTCAGAGGGAACCTGGGGAACGCAGGCAGAGTGCTGCTCTTGGGGCGCACATCGTCTAGAGTTTGGGTACCACTGCAGCACGAGGCTTTGAGCATTCCCTGCAGCTGACAAAGCCATGTCCCATTTGGCTTCCCATGCCTACCACCTGAGGACTTTGTGTCTTGAAACTCTTGCGAGGGACTGACAGTTGTCTGGAGAGCTTGGATGCCCTGATTGTGGCGAGCACCTGTGCTGTGCTTTGGTCTATCAGAATTCCCTGGGAGCTGCCCCCCACCCCCGGTCTGTATTTGCTCTCAGAACTGGTCCACCTTGCACTGCCCAGAGGACTTCCCTCCCTCAAGAAAACCGGCCCTTGACACTGATGAATAGCGCTTCTGTAGTCTCCCCTCCACTCCCCTCTAGGTGTCGCTTCCACCGAGGTTTCCATGAGTGAAAAACAGCGCCAGTAGCTTTAGTCTTAGTAAATCTGTGGCAAGCCTGTGCCTCAAGAATTGTTCTAGATATCTCCTATCCGTGAGGTACCCAAATCCACCTTCCTTTTATGCGCCTAACACAGAAATGGGGTGACTGCTAGACAAAAACATGCACAGCAACACCCCTTGCCATTTTTTAAGAGAAAAAAAAAATGGGGGCATGAAGAAGACATCAGGACTTTCCCCAGAAAGCCCCCAAGTTATTTACCTACCCACCAGCATTTGGGGAAACAAGAGTCATTTTTAACCATCTATTCTCATCCTTGGTACTGGCCAGCATCGTTCTGGTCCCTCTGATTCTGAGGACAGGCTCTGTCTGGTGTGGAAAGAAAATGGGCAGGGGGAGTAAGTAGGGCTTGTGTGGTATCAGAGCCCCAACATCTCTCCGTCCAACCCTCGAGCCCCTAGGCCTTGCAGAGCTTAATCACTTCTGATTTCAGTTGTGTGAGAAGGGACTGCAGGCGTCAGGCCATTCCTGCCACCATCAGCTGGATGCTGACTTTCTTGGGAACCAACACCTCCTTCTTCCAAGAAAGACTTCAGCTTGAACCAGAGGTCATCCAAAGAAAGGGTCCACTGGATGTTTTGTATTAACTTTCCTAATTCCCGGTGGCTTTTATTTTCCTCTTAGAACTTTGAGGTCACCAACTTTTGCTAATTCCAGAAAGGCTTTTAGTTCTTCCTCCCAGAAAAGGGCCAGCTTGTTGACTTGGGACTAGGTCACTCCCCATGCTTTACCTTCTGCTAGGGACTTGTAGGACCTATTTATTTACTGTGGCCTCATGTGCGGATCTTCTGTTTTACTTAATAGACTTTCCCAGGGACCACCGCTGAACGGTTAAGATTTCCCAAGCCTATCCTTAATGGCTGCCCTATCTCTGGAGGTATTTTTTTTTTCTGCAAGTTCCCACCTTCTTGTGTAGCTTATACGCAGTTATTGTTGTTCTTCCAAACTTAATAAAATTAGATATTTCAGGAGATTATCTCTCCTGAAGTGTTTTACCTCTTAATACATAACGCTAAGGTGTATAACATCAAATATAATGGAAAAACCACAGCTAAAAGAATGTATTAATACAGTATTACCTAAAGGTCGGAAGGATAGGGTGATTAGAAGCCACAGGTGAATGTATAAACATTCCAAGATGAATGTCATCAGTTTATGCACTGCACCTGGAATAATTTAGGTAGCCAATTCATCCATTGTTGGAAAATACAGAGAGTGCATAGTTAGTAGAAAATGCAATTCAGGCCTGGTTAGAGGCCTCAGAGGGTAAAGGCATTTGCTGTCAAGCCTGACAGCTGAGTTTGAGCCCAAAGATCCACATGTGGAAGGAAAGAATGGATTCCTCCACCTCACTGACTTATACACACACACAATAAATAAATAGATAAGCAAATAAACCAATGTATGAAAAACTTAAAAAGAAAATGCAATTCCACTTAATTATGATGTTAACCTGATAAAGTTACAGGCTTATCTTCTCCAGGTTGATATTTGAGGGACAATTTGGGGAAATTCGAAATGCTTTTTCTTTTTTCCTAAAAGACACAGATCAAAACTAGAGTCCTGACTGTCTTCAGCAGAAATTATGAGTAGTCCCTGGTTTCAGGTTGGGTTTGGTGTGTACCCCGCTCTCCACACCATTTGGGAAAATACACAGAAGAGGACAACAGGGCTCTGGGGTGCTCCCCGTTGGATTTCTCTTCATTGACTATCAACAGAACTCGGTGTAAAATAAAGTCCGATTCAGGTGTCAAGCCAGTGTTTGGAAATGCAGGTACCCCCAGGGTCACAGACCTCATTGCTCTCTCTGAGGCTCTACCGAGTCATCTTTGTAATTTCTAAGCCATTTGTGTGTGACTAATCCATGGTGACTGGCCTGGTAATGTGCCCGTGTTCTGGAATAAAGGTCACGAGAGAAAGAGACCTGGTGAGCGTTGTCCCCGGTGGCCAGCATTCCTGCTCATCCTGGTAGGGTTGGCTACAGGAATAGACAAGACTTATCTTAAGCCCATCACCCGCGGAAGACTCTGGTCACAGGAACTGCACAGTAAATACTGCGTACATGTTGGTTTGTGGTCTCTGGATGGGGGAAGATCTTATTTTTCAAACATGAATTCATATTAGTTTTAGTCCTTCCCTAATAACTTAAGTTTTTAGTCACAGTTTTTTCAACTTTCTTGAAAAAGCAACTTGGCATTTGGAATGTTACATCACACTAATTTGTCATAACTCTGTAATTTTGAACACAGAAAGATAGCACAGACAGAAGCCTGTTTTACAACGTCAGGAAGTCCTGTGGTTTGCACAGAGAGGCTACAGCACTGACAAGCACAAACACAACCTGCAAGAACACGCAAACCTGAGTGCATTGTGCTGTAAGTCTGTAGTAGTGAAAGAACACAGGCGGGTGTACAGAAGGTGGGGTGCTGGCCTTAGGGTCTAGGTCTGGGCAGTGCCTTGGTTCCAAACCTTCTGTGACTTAACTGAAGCTACATCAGGCAGGCTAGTACCTAGTTCTCCTGGCCGTGGGACAATGTTGAGCGCCAGGTGGGGACCAGAGGAAAGACTGGAGTGCCTCTCTTCAAATGAAGATGTTTTATCTGCTAACCGATGCCCTGAGTTGTTTGGAAAAAGACGCTGTCTCAGGGACTCCATCCTGGTGGAGTTAGAACCAGTGCTTAGGGTCTATCCAGGACTATCCAGGACAATGAATGAAGCGTAGTCTCAGAAGGAAGTCTAGGCTGGTAAAGAGAATCTGCAACCTTGTGAGTAGCTCATTCCCAGATCTGTAATGGAGGAACTCTTGCTAAAGGCTGGCAAGGCTATTAACATTGGAGTTGCAATGAGTTCAGTTAACAGAGTGATGTCCTCAAAGTGACTTGTGCTCCCTGGAGTTGGAGGAGCATCCCTGCCTCCCAGAATTCTGTGTGATTTTTCTTGGAGAGTGTGCACAGTTGCACCCACTCTGGGGTCAGATACAGAAGGGTGACAGCTTGGCTCTTTCCCCTTACCCTGAATCTCTGACCATGGTCAGAGCCCTGACAAGCAAAGGAAGCTGGCTCTGGGCAGCTTTTGGAGCAAGAAGGGACTCCCAGTTTGTTGTGTATAGATTGACTCTGTCATATGAAAAAGAGCTGCCTACCAAGATTAAATATTACCAAGGGTGGAGAGGCCTTGAGGGACAGGATGTAACAGAACCACCCACCTGCTGACTTACATGCCATGTAGCCTTGACAGGGTACTTACCCTCCCTGTGACCCTGTTGTCTCTGTCAGGAGATGGAGAGGAAGGATAGGCATTGCCTTCCGTAGGGAGTATGATGAGGGTTATGAGTGAATGCCTGTGAAGCAGTTAGAATAGTACCTGACACATGGTAATTGCTAGGTGAGTGTTAACCAAATAAGAGAGTCTCTATTTGGTTATTAGACAGATCATCAAAATTGATTTAGACCCAATATTAATTCTTCTTTTTTATTGACTGAGTTGTCATAAAACTCAAGCTGAAATTTTTTAGGCTGTTGCTGTTCTCGATGCAATGAATTGTCAATCACCCTTTGTATAAAATGACATCCAAGACACATCCACAGTGTAAATGAAATCAGCTAGTGGTGGCCAAACTGAGCTGCATTTTATAAAGAAGCTGTGTAGGCTATTTCAGCAGTTGATCTGGCTCACGCGTCTCCCTGTCTTCAAATAAGGTCTTAATAGGGAACCTCAATGCAAGCTGAATAAAGATCAGCCTCAGCTCCAGCTTCCGAGGCTGGTGCTGGGGTCCCAGAATCCAGCTGACTTAATACTCACTCTCAGGACCCGTCTCTTAAATGATGCTACATCATACTTGCCAAGACAATAATTGAAATGAATAGATTTTATTTAGATACTATCCATTAATAATAAAACACCATTGGTGTTTTTTTATTACTAATTTGTCTTAGATTACTAAGAAAATTGAAAGTAAAGCATTAGATTTTGTGGCTTGCATATTTCATAATTCCAGGAGTTGACTCTGTACATTGAGAAAGATTTTGATTATCTCTGTTTTTAGTGGGTTTGGGCAAGGAGGCATAATAAAGGAGGTAAGTAGACCTTTGAATGCAGGCACTTACCTCACAAGCAGTCTCTGTAAGAGGACTAAGTACAGTACAAAAAAGCATAGTCTTTCTCGGTCTAGCTTGAAGTGCTATAGTTAGCTCTTAAAACATGCAAAAGTCCGGGAGCGGCCATCTGCAGTCTGCAATGTGGCTCCAGGTTCAAAGAGGATAATTCATGAAGAATTTGGAGTTGCCATTATTTTTGAAGAAACAAAATGATCCAAGTATGGGAAATACTCTGTTGTAGCCCCACGTGTGGAGATTCTTTTCCTTCCACCATCTCATTCCCCTGAGATCTGTCCGTCCTTTGTATAGGGTCAGGAGCTGAAGGTTGGTGTCACAGGCCTCAAGGTAGCAGCCAAAGCTACACTGTGCGAAGTTCTCATCAGGTTTAGAGATGGTGATGTTCCAATGATAGCTACTGGTCACCTGGACTACTTTCTCAGTAGCTCAGCTTTGCTGACAGATGTCAAAAACGAATGACTAAAGAAATAGAGAAATGAGCTGGACAGTGGTGGTGCACACCTTTAATCCCAGCACTTGTTAGGCAGAGGCAGATGGATCTCTGTGAGTTCAAGGCCAGCCTGGTCTACAGCATGAGTTCCAGGACAGCCAGGACTGTTTCACAGAGAAATCATGTCATAAAAAAATAAAGGGAGGGAGGGAGGGAGGGAAGAGAGGGAGGAAGGAAGGAAGGAAGGAAGGAAGAAATGGGGTCTCTGGAGGTCTTTCTGAAAGATAGCTATCCCTGGATACCTTGTCATCTCATAAGCCAGAGTGTAGTGTCCCAAGTTTGCCTTTTCTTCTCAGTGGGCATTTTTGTCTCACACATGGGGAGGCAGCCAGAAGAACCTGGAACACAGCACAAGTGGGTCTGTTTGGTGACCATGGCCATAGCACTAGTGACCGAGTGACAGCCTTTGTCCCTTGTCTAGGTCAGATTCTTAAAACTGTTCCTGATCCCTTTTCGCCTCTTATATAAATTAGATTACAAATCATATATTTACTGATGATAAATCTTAAAGGCATCCACTTGTTTTGTTTTGCTTTTGCTTTTTGAGACAGTGTTTCTCTGTGTAACAACCCTGACTGTCCAGGAACTTGATTTGTAGAACAGCCTAGACTTGAACTCACAGATATCTGTCTGCCTCTGTCTGCCAAGGGCTGGAATTAAAGGCATGCGCCACCACCATCCGACTGACTTTTACTTAGACCCCAAAGCTACAGAGAAACCCTGTCTCTAAAAAACAAAATAAATAAATAAATAAATAAATAAATAAATAAATAAATAAATAAAATTTATTGATTATGTGTGTGTGTGTAACACGTGTGTGTGTGTGTGTACATGTGTACTAGAGAGGAGGTACCTCCCACCCCACTGCAGGCCAGAGGCATCAGATTCCCCTGGAGCTTGAGTAGGCTGATATAGATACTGGGAATCAAACTTGGGTCCTCTGCAAGAGAAGTTTAGAACAATATGTTCTCTTAACCACTGAACCATGTCTCCAGCCCCCAAGAAATGTATTTTAAAACAATTCTTTAGTATATATGTACTTTTACTGTTCGTGAAAGATGAAAGTAAATTTGCATGCTCATAAGATGATGTGCAGAAGGAATTAAATTTTGGCATACATTTGATACTGCGGGAGGAAGAGCATCTTTGGTGTTTCTCGGAGCTGATTAATATTTTGATTTTATAATTGTCAGTATTGAACACTGTGTCACTTAAATACACAGAACAAAATGGCGGAAGGGTGCTCAGGACCATTTCGGAAACGGTTGGAAATTCTGTCCTGCTCCTGAGCCAAAATTCATTTAACAAGTTTTATGGAATTCCAGCCAGCAACTCAAATAGCAATTTTAAAAATCAAACATTCTTACACAATGCCATCCAAATATATATACTCATTTGATACTTACATGCTGAGGAATGACAGGAGGAAAATATTAAAAGACTTTGTCTTCTATAATCAAACCATTATGTTTCCATAAGGGCGAAAAAAAAACCAGCATTTGGTGGTAGTGCTTGGTCACACGGCACGTGTGAGGCAAAGCCTGGTGTGCTTGGAGCCAAGGCTGCCATGAGGAGGTGAGATGTAGCATGGGTAAGCATTGCCAGAGCCCCCTTGGATTCATTGTGCATTTGCTTATTAATTAATTGTTGGTTCTGTATTTTACTGTTTACTATATTTTACCATTGCCCAGTTTTTAACAACCCCCACAGGAGCTCCCCAACTGAAGCGGCTGAGGTCCAGAGTTGGAAGTTATCCAAGGCTGTTGATTTGAGCATAGGGATGGGATCTTCAAGCTACAAGGTATCTCAGGCCCCCAAGTTTTTGACTCAGATGCGGGTTGTAGCCCAGTCCCCAGGCCAGGTCATTTGGGGTGCTGGCCTCTGAAGAGTGCTACATGTTGGGGCTGGAGAGATGGCTCAGTGGTTAAGAGCATTGCCTGCTCTTCCAAAGGTCAATTCCCGGCAACCACATGGTGGCTCACAACCATCTGTAATGAGGTCTGGTGCCCTCTTCTGGCCTGCAGGCATACACAGAGACAGAATATTATATACATAATAAATAAATATTAAAAGAGTGCTACATGTTTCCTTCTCTGGGCAAGGTTACAGGTTACAATGGAGAGCCTGCAGTTAGATATCATCGAAATTATGGCTAACATACACTTACAGTGGAAACTTTATTTAAAAAGTAAGCAGGTGGGCCAGCAAGATGGCTCAGCTTGGTGACCTGATCCATGTGGATCCACGTAGGAGAGAAACAGAAATGACTCGGACAAGTTGTCCTCTGACCTCCAGCATATCCCCCACAACACACACACACACACACACACACACACACAGACACAAACACACACAAACACACACAAACACACACACAGGCACATACACAGACACATACACATACACAAACATACACAGACATCCACACCCACAAATACACACACACAGACACACACACACGCCACCCTAATAAAAATTTTAAAAAGTGCAGTTACTAAGACACCTGGAACAGCCTATCCTCACTCCATCAGCATAGTACCTTAGCACATGAAGTTTCTCTCTCTCTCTCTCTCTCTCTCTCTCTCTCTCTCTCTCTCTCTGCCTATCTCTCTTTTTATTGCGACAGGGTTTCTCTGTGTAACTGCTCTGGCTGTCCTGGAACTCCTCTGTAGACTAGATTGGCCTTGAACTCGCAGAGATCCACCTGCCTCTGCTTCCTGAGCGCTGGGATTAAAGGTGTGCGCCACCACCAGTACACCTGAGGTTTCTTAACTACCGCTCACACCCAAGCCCACGTCTCGTCCGTCTGTGCGGGTCTTATGTCTTTGGTTACCTTGAATTGTTCTTTTGTTTCATTCTAGGACTTTAGGTAATAATGTTACCAGAAGAGTGTCAGGAAGCAACTTCTAGGTTATTGGGGTTTAGTTAGCATTCATTGGCTGCTCAGATTCTGCTGTAAAAACTAAACTACTATAGACCTTATGACGCTATTTTGAAGTTCATCATTTTGTAAACTGAGGTGTAAGATATAGAGAAGTTACTACACTCTTAATATTATTCCTCATCAACATTTCTCGAACCGTGTTTATTTAGTACGTGTTTATGTGGGGATATGTGTGCAGGAGTCAGCTCTAGGGGATCACACTTAGGTCATCAGGCTTCTCCTAAGCTTATGTGCCTAGCTCCAAATGACTTCTCAGGAAACTGAGGCATGTACTTGCCCAATAGCTGTGACTCGGCTGACCCATTCTGGTTGTCCCTGTAGATGTGGCCGTTGGTGGCAGTTCAGGTGGGACACAAATGACTTACATTTATAGAGTTCTACTATGTGCATGATACCAACTAATTCAGTTCTCAGAGCACCCCCATGAGGTCTGTATTACTGTGCCCATTTAGAGACAGTGTGCTGAGGCCCAGAAATAATGCTACTTCTCCCAAGTAGAACAAAGGGTTTATAGTGTAGTTTATGCTTAGATTAATAAATTTGTGTGTGTGTGTGTGTGCGCGCGCACTGGTGTCCATGTGTGTGGTTGCATGTGCATATGGGAGCCAGAATTCAACCTTGACTGTGGTTCCTTACCAACCATCCATCTTGATTTTTGCAAGAAAGTGTTTTTCTCACTGATCCACGGCTCACCAATTAGGCGGTGCTGGCTGGCCAGTGAATCGCTGGGATCTGCCTTTCTCTTCCTCTCCAGCTCTGGGATTAGAGATCCAAACTGTCATTCTCAGCTTTTTATGTGGGTCCTGGGGCTAACACTTGGCCCCATGTTTGCTTGGTAAGCACTTTACAAACCAAGGTTAACTTGATTCTGTATGTCCATCACCTCCCCTGTGACTGCTGTGACTTCCTACCGCTTCCCCGCTGAGCCTTTGTTATTTTCCCAACAGGCTGGACAAAATGAAACCAGGAGGCTTCTGGCCACATCTCGCCCTGCTTGGGGTCTCCCTGCCAGCTGTGCTGGGATGGATGGACCTCGGAGCCAGCAGAAGCCCCAATGTGGTTCTGAGAGAGTCCCAGGCAGAGGTATGGTCTGGTAACTACCGACATGATGTTTCATACAGGTTGCTTTTCAACATTATAGTGTCTGATTTCTCTCCCACCTGTAGATCAGTTGTGCCACTGTGTAAATTCAAATTGCACTCCTATTTTGGTAAGGGACGAGAGGAGGCAACAGGCATTTTCATCGCCGGAGGGCCGTGGTCCCGGAATCTCTCACCAGTGAGAGCATGTCCCTACGTTATGCTTTCTCACTGTGCATTTATCCTGCCACACAGACCCTTCTAGGACTGACGCTTCTGTGCACTTAATAAAAACCCATGACTTCTGACTAATTGGTGGAGCACACACATAAGAACTGATGAAGTGTTTTAATGACAAAATATGTCTTAAAAGAAACGGACCCCTCTTAGGATATATAGATAAAAAAGACTCAAGCTTGGAATGAATTGGGGAGCTGAGGTCCTGAGGGAGACCGCTTTAATGAACAGACAAGAATGATGAATGGCATGCTAGGTGTATATAAATACTTCTAAAGAGCCTAGAAAACTTACTCTCAGAAACCTCCCCAGAGGGCCTGGATGGACCGCTAAGTGCTTAGTGATCTCTAGTCTTAAGTATCCCACAGGCCAGCGCTACTCAAGGTAGCAGCTTCAGTGAATTTGGGGTGGCCTCGTGGATTTAGGGTGCATATGGAATGCTGGTTAGCTTCAGAAAATGCATTGTGAAAGGGCTGAACTTTGAAAGAGAGTAAGTACCCCTTCATTAGAACTACCTGGGAGTTTCATCTTTGCCTTGAGGAGCTGAGCCCTTATCGGGGCTCTCTCAGGCGTCCTCACTTCCGTTGTCTTACACTGATACATGCCCGGTCCTTTTTTCTGTACCTGTGTCTCTGTTCCTGGGGAAGGAGAAATCAAAATTACCAGAAAAAGTCAACATACTCGGAGAGCAGATAAGGGACACACACAGTGTGTGTTAGGATTAATGCATTATTTGATCAAACGGCACAGAGTTCTCTCTCATTATTACTTAATTGTCATGCGATCCCAAACCTGCAAGCCTTATTCTTCGGGGAGTTTTGGAAGTAATTTAATGCACACTTCTGCTGCTGCTGCTGAAGTTGGTGCAGTGTGCTTTTGTCTCCAGCCGATGATTAAATAGAAACACTATCACTCCTGTCTAAATCTATGAAGGACATTCCTTAATGTTGCTTTGAAAGCCTATAATGGCAGCCGCCACTGGGCCGGTGAGAGCCACATTTCCCATGTGGAAAGGGCTTCCTTTTTGTATGCACATCCCTAGGGGAAACCACTGCTTAAGTCCTATAGATCCATCCCTGAATATTTAATAGGAAAGCAAACAGGCAGGCCTTACAGGTAGCTTACTCTCCTGGAAGTGGGGGGCTCCTTGGCCCTCTTTGGTGAATCACTTATTTCAATTAAGAGGCAGGCTAATTAAAGTGGGATTTAGCTGGTGGTAAATGGGAGGCACGTTAACATCACCCAGAGCCTCCTGTGTGAGCTCTTAACACCTCAGCTTTGTGTAACAACGGGGAGGCAGGTGCTGAGCATGGGAGAAAGGCCTCTCTTTGTTTGCCTACCCCCATCTTCCCCGCAGCTCCAGCTCCAGCTCCGGCTCCCAAGTCCTGGAATGTCACTGACTGCTTCCAGGAGGAAGGGGTGAGGGCAGGTACAGCTGGTCTTCGGGCACACCTCTCCGCTGTAGCTCTGTTTTCTGCTGTGCCTTAGCTCATTGAGCCTGCACCTAGCTCTGATTAATGAGGCAGTCAGGCTGTGAATGGGTGAGTCCACGGAAGCTGAGGGTGGCTTTGGTCAGTGTCTAGCTAGCAGGAGCAGAGCATTTGCTGCAGTGGAGGTGCTTGCCTACTTTGGTCATGGTCTGGATGCCTCCCAGCCTCTGGTATGTACGTATATGGGTGCCTGTTCATACAGTACGCCAAGGCCAGAGTGGGACGTCCTCCTCTATCACAGGTCCCCTGAGCCTGGAGAGAGCAGGTTTTCAATCGGGCTAGCTGGCCAGCAAGCCTCAGGTATTCTCAGGCTTGCATTGCAAATCTTCTTTCCTACTGAGGTCTCCCTAGCCCAGCAGCTCTCAATCTGTGGGTCACAGCCCCTTTGGGAGGGTTGGATGATCCTTTCACAGAGGCTACCTAAGACCATCGGAAAACACAGATATTTATGTTGCTTTTCTTAACAGTAGCAAAATTACAGTTATGAAGTAGCAAGGAAAATGATGTTGTGGTTGGGGGGTTCACTACAACATGAGGAACTGTATTAAAGGGTTGCGGCATTAGGAAGGTTGAGAATCACTGCTCTAACCTAAGCTCTTGTTCTTACTCCTTCTCTAGAACCTTCTTAGACCACTATTAATCACATATGGGCTAGCTTTTTGAATCTTTAAAAGAAAGATTGATTTGCTCATTTTTATTTATGTGTGTGTGTGTGTGTGTGTGTGTGTGTCGGAGGGGAGGTGAGTTTACGTGTGCCACATGCATTCTAGACTACAGAGGTCAGAGGGCATCAGATCACCTGGAGTGATGTGGGTGCTGGAAACTGACCCCAGATGTGGTGGTTTGAATAGGTATGGCCCCCGTAGATTCTGGTGTTTGACTGCTTGTTCCATAGGGCGTGGCACTATTAGGAGGTGTGTGACCGTGTTGCTTATAAGAGTTGCCGAGGTCATGATGTCTCTTCATAGTAATAGAAACCCTAACTAAGACATCAGGTCCTCTGCAAGAGTAGCACCTTCTCACTAGCCCCTTATTGCTCCTTCTTATCTTTTTTCCTACTTACTTTTATTTTGCACATAGGTGAAGCTGATCTTTTTTATCTTTCTCTCCCTTTCAGTGTCTTATTATGAGCAAAATGGAATTTTTTTTAAGTCAATCAAAACTTGATGCAAAATCCAAAGGGTGGGTGGCCTTTCTACCCACAGACAGGTCTGTGTATGGTGGGACAGTAAACAGTGTCCCCTGGTAGCTGGGAGTGGCTTGCAGTTCTGAGCTTACATCTTGCTGACTGATATGAAGATTTCCCTTGAGGATCATGGCTTCCAGATCAAAGTTTCTTCTTTGAACTGTAGCTGATCATATATTCATAACTCACTGTCCAAGCTGTACTAAGGTCTTCTAGAATTTTCTTGAGGTAGTCTTATTTCTGGGAAGAATCCAAACCAAGAGAGAGTTCTGAGATTCTAAAATAAGTGAAAATCAGACAAAACAACATTTTTTCTTCTGTATACATTCGTGTGCACGTGTCTCTCTCTCTCTCTCTCTCTCTCTCTCTCTGTGTGTGTGTGTGTGTGTGTGTGTGTGTGTGTGGTCTAGCAGTCAGTGTTGGGTGTCTTTATCACTCTCTATCTTATGCTTTGAGATAGGGTCTTTGATTGGCCAGCTCACCCATCAGCCCCTGGAGTCCTCTTGTCTCCCCAGCATGGGGATTGCAGATACACTTACTAATTTACCCATGCCTGTGAGACATGCAGCTGGCCAGGAAGTACCTGTCTAATAAGACCTGCCCAGCTGTTTATGTGGATGCTGGGATCCAAAATCAGAACCTCACGCTTTGGCAGCAAACACTTTACCGCCTCACCCATCCCTCCAGCTGCAGCAAAATGACTTTTTGATAAATATTAAAGTGGTTTTCTGGGTCTTTTCTCCCTGGCAGCAGTGTGTCCAAAGATTATCAAGGTTTCCTAGGTACTCGGGAAGCATTAATAAGGGTTGACTTGTCTTTAAAGTTATTACAATTACTTCATTCTCCTAAGAGTAAATGAAGATTAAATGACCAACGGATGTGCATGTGCATACAAACACATATTTTGAAAGCAAATAGAACCAATATGAATTTTAGTAAATTATTGTTTCTTGTACAAAGACTGGAGCTAAAATAGCTTCCAGGAGTTTACTATTTTACAGATGTGGATTAGAAATGCAGCTGTTGGATGTGCTGCTTTATAACAGCTGAGGAGCAGGATGTGGCCTGGAATGCTGATGATGCTCTGGATTTCAGAGAAACAGTTCTGGGGTGGAATTCACTGAAATCTTAAAATATTATTTCATTGTCTCTCTTCCCACCTTACACCATGGGCAAGATAAGCTGCTCATTCTTGACCCCCCAAATCTGAAATCCAACATAATAGGTCATTTAGGAACCAATAGGACTCCACAAATAGAAAACCCCACACCCGACTTCTTGTGACAGGTTGTGATCAAAAATGCAGGCACCAGCAATATCCTGCAAAATTACTGCAGGGCCTGGAGAGATGGCTCGGTTGTTAAGAGTACATTCTGGCTGGGAGGTGGTGGTACACGCCTTTAATCCCAGCACTGGGAGGCAGAGGCAAGCAGATCCCTGTGAGTTTGAGGCCAGCCTGGTCTACAAGAGCTAGTTCCAGGACAAGCTTGATAGCTACAGTGAAACCTTGTCTTAAAAAACAAAACAAAACAAAAACAGAGAAACAAAAGAGTACATTTTGTACTCTCAGAGGACCCAAATTCCATTCCCAGTACCCATGTGGGTTGGCCCACAATTCATGCTAACTCCAGCTCCAGGGAACCACATGTCTCTGGCATCCTTAGGCATTGTACTCATGTAGTATATGCGGGCACACAAACACATAATTGAAGATAAGTAAATCTTTAACATTTTCTGCAGGTTATGTGTATAAGAAATAAATGAATTTCATGTTTTGGCTTGGGTTCCATGCCTCCAAGAGCTCATTATATGGGTGTAAATAGTCTCAAATCCTCCCAAATCCCAAGTGCAAGCCATTTTTGGTTCCAGGTTTTTCAGGGAAGGATTTTATTCGGTGGGTAACTGAGAAGTCAAAAGAGAATGAAGGAGTTCCCTGACTGAGTTTCAGCACAGTGTCTGACCTAACTGTGGTATTCAGGGCTGGACAGGGAGCCCATCCACGGCCATATGTTCCCTTCATGCACTTCACTTAGTTCTGAGAGCTGTATCACCATGCAATGCATAATTATGCATGCAAAATAGCATTGATCC